AGTACACAGGCAAACAAATAGAGCAGGACTGCGGCCTTGCTGACAGAGATTTTAAGATGCCATCAAGGATAAGACTTGTTAACTCAATTTCATACTGTTGAGATGGGAAAAGCTATGAGCCTTGGAATTGATGAAAACCCGCTTTTTTAAAAGATGGACAATAATCCAATAATAATAAAACCTATGGATACCCCAGTGTTGCCAGCTCTCAATTCTTTCTGCCTTTCTTGACACACCAGTGATATAATGTACAATAGCCATTTCAAGTCACCACTCTCCCAACCTACAGTTGCTAAGTTCTTTATTAGACTTCCTTGTTCACTCGTAATTCTCCCTCCCCCATTTATTCTCAACACAGCCAGAGTAAATTTTAAAAGCTATACTAGATCACTCCCTTGATTAAACATTGGCGCAGTTTTCTCTTGTACTTTGAATAAAATTATTGCATTACCTGCAGGGATCCTGAAGGCAAGTGCTCTGTCTCCTAGAGGGCATGGATTTTTGTTTTGTTCACTGCTACTGTATTTCCCTGTGCTCTGCACATGGGTTAGGGCCCAATAAATATCTGATGAATGGAATGAGTGACTCTGGCCCTCACTACCTCTTTAGCCGCTCATCTCATGCCTGTCTTCCCCTTAAACAATATGCTTTTGTCCTCTAGTCTCCTTACTGTCTCCTGAAAACTCCTTCTCATCAGGCCTTTGAAACTGTTAACCTTCTTCATGAAATGATTTTACCCAAATGCTCAGCAAGACTGTTTCAACTTTCTTCAGATCTCCCTTAAAGGGCACCTCCTCAAAGATGCTTACCCTGTTTATCCCCTCTCCCAACATAATTAGACTCAACTAATTTATTTCCTCTCATAATTATCAGTTTATTGTCTCTCACCAGATTTTTAAGTTCTAGGAGGGCACAGACCATGTGTTCTGACATGAAAAACGTATACCCAGCGTGTATCCCAAGGTCACATACATTCTAGAAGCTCAATGGATGTTTGTTGAGTAATGAGCAAAGAAAGGCTGTGCCGAGTGCCTCTAGCACCTTGTCACTCTGGAAACGAAACATCGAGCCACAACGTTACAAAGCTTTACTCCAAATTACCATTTTAGCTTCTGTTATCTGTATTTTCTAACATACACAAATTTAATTGTTTAAGGCTCTTGCTATGGCAATAAAAGATTCTTTCCTGTCTCAAGATTGTATTAAAACCTTTTTCTTACATTCTCTTCTAGTGTTGTTATTTTTTAAGAAGTAGCTCTTTATTTCACCTAGAACTTCGCTTGATGTAACTATGTACTGTTTTCCAAATAGATGGCGATTATCCCCAAACATGCATCATATGCTTAAAACTCTATTATTTCTGGGTTCTATTCCGTCTCATCAATCTAGCCATCTATTACTGTGCCAGTACCACACATTTTAATATCACTGGGTTTAAAACACATATATCGTGAGCTGCTTAAACAAGTGTCCCCGCACTGTTCTTCTTGCAAAGAAACTGCAACATCATTTGGGCACGTGTCAAGAATATTCCTATCGGGATTACATTAAATTCACAGAGTTGGGGGAAAGCAGCATCTTTATATTAATGTTCCCATCTACATTGTAATGAAAATTTAGCCCTATCCTTTCCATTACCGTTACTGATATTATTTATTTCATTTTCCTTATCTAACGGCACTGCCTAACACTTCCAGAATAATGTAAATATTGATGAACACAGCTGTCTTTGCCTCTCCCTTACTTTAATGGATGCGTCTTAGTGTACGTCAGAGTAAGCACAATTCTGGCTACGAGTTTAAAATATGTTTATAATACACATTTACTGAGTTGTTTTATTTAAATCATGCTATAAAAGTGTCATTCAATTCTTATTTTTAGTTCGCTTGGTTTAGTTTTCAAAGTGTTTGTAACATTTTATCTAATGTCTTTGAGACAGCTATCAAACACTACAAGGTTGTCTTTTCCTTTCACCTCTTGCAAATCATAACTGTGAATGCCATATTGAGCCGTTCTGGATTCCTAGAATAAACTCCTTTGGGTCAGAATATTATCCTTTTATCATAATGCTGATTTTATCTGCCAATATCTTATTTATAACTTCTACATCTAAACTCATAAGCAAAACTGGTTTGGGGTTTTAGTTTGTTTTCTAACCTTCATTAGGTTTTAGTATCCAGTGGTCACACTGGAGAAAAACGAATTGGAAAAGCTATCCTTCTTTCTGTAAGCTCCAGGCGTAAACTTCTTTCCCTACATTTCAACTTATTCAACCAACATTTCTTGAGTACCCACTGTGCATTTGTTAGACACTGACAAGATAAAATTTCATATATATATATA